TACCAACTGAGATACTAGGGAGGGTTCCTTTCTCTATCCCTTATGCACCTCAGGGCTATGCCTTCTCTTATCTGACTGTTCTCCAAAGCTACATTGACACGACTTTGCACGTCTGAAGGTACTTACTCTGCTTCTTGTAATAGTCTTCCCATGCCTTGCTGTAATCTGGTTGGCTATTCTGCTGCTGGTTTTGCTGACCTACCCAAAGGGAAGCCAAGAACGAAAGAAAGAGGTTACAGAGCGGCCGGAGAGAGAGAGCAGGACACAATCTCTGGGTCTGAACCCCTTGAGATATTGATGGATCGACTTTTCAGGAGGAGAGCTGGGATCCTGTGCCCAACTACCCGAGGAGGAGGACATGTAACCCAAAGGCAGAAGAATGTGCTTCTGCCAGGGATAGCTATTCCCTGTTTTATCTGGCAGTTTCTAACACTCCAACATAGAGTAACATATCCAACATATGTCAGAGCACGTAGAGCGCAGAGAAGAGCAACCAGGATGATTAGGGGACTGGAGGCTAAAACACATGAAGAACAGCTGCAGGAATTTGGAATATCTAGTTTAAGGACTAACTGACTGCTGTCTATATAAAAATTTATGGCAAAGCTACTTTGTTGTAAAGCTATCCCCTTGCAAGCAAAACGCTGCAGCAGAAAATTATCCGCTGTGAGGTATCTTGACTTGGGGGTCTCCAGACTACCCCAAATACTCCCCCCCCCCAAAAAAAACCATATTTCTAGGATGGGGGGCACTTACTTGGGACCTGCTGTCCTGGTTGCTGCCACGTCTGGAAAGTGCTTCCCCAGCCCTGGGTCATGAACGCCTGGGGACCGCTGTGGATGACAAGACACCGTTACTCCTTACTAGCACCGATGATGTAACCCCATGGTCCTCCTTCTCTCATCTCCTCATCCTGCCCTCTTCTCCACAAACCCCACTCCCTTCTAGCACTGATGATGTAACTTAGTTGAGTCATGAAACGTCTGCAAGGAAACCACCAAGCTCAGAGAGCACCAAGGAC